CTGCCGCCCTTTCTAGCCACACACCAATCCCCACACACGACTCACTCCAGGGATCTCATCTTCCCGCACCACGAGAACGAGCGGGCGCAGACCATGGCTGCCACGCGGCACTCCGGCGGCTGCGGCTGCGAGACGGGTTCGTCTGGCGACGGGCGCGAGCTGGCGCGGTACTGGATGCACAACGGTGCGGTTGTGGAGTGAGATTGGTCTGGGATTGCATGATGACCTGATGCATCAGCCGTGGCACTACTGGATACCGGCAGCGCAGAACCCTCCCATCCACTCCCAGCGCCCCTCCCCCTCCCCTGTATGCATCCCCTCCGCACACCCATGTGACTCCTTCCCTCTCCCACCCAGGCTTTGTGAATGTGGACAGCGAGAAGATGAGCAAGTCGCTGGGCAACTTCTTCACCATCCGTGACATCCTGGGCGCCACGCCGGCCGCGGCCCTGCGCTGGTTCCTGCTGAGCACACACTACCGTGCTCCGCTCAACTTCACGCCCACCGCTCTGGACCAGGCCACCGACCGCGTGTACTACGTTTTCCAGACCCTGGCCGACGCCGAGGCCGCCGCGCGCGCACACGACCCGGAGGTCGACATGGACGACGGTCGACCTCCCCCTGGCGAGCCCTGCGCCCTGCTCTCCGCCGTGCGCGCGGCGTTGGCCGACGACCTCAACACCCCGGCCGCGCTGGCGGCGCTGGGCCCGCCCCTGCGCGAGCTCAACGAGCTGGCCGGAAAGCGCGGCAAGGGCGCGGCGGGCAGGCAGGCCGCGCTGCTGGCGCTACGCGCGTCCCTGGTCCACGCGCTGCGCCTGCTGGGCCTGCTGGGCCCGGCCGGCGACGCCGGCGCGCCGGACGCCGTGCTGGCCGGCGTGCGCGCGCTGGCGCTGAAGCGCGCGGGGCTGACCGAGGCGGACGTGGCCGCGGCGGTGGAGCGGCGCGCGGCGCTGCGCGTCGCGCGCGACTTTGCGGCCGCCGACGGGGTGCGGACCGAGCTGGCGGCGCGCGGAGTGGCGCTGATGGACGGCGCGCCGGGCGGCGGCACGCAGTGGCGGCCCCTGCCCCTGCACGCCCCGGGCCCCTCCTCCTGATGTGTCATGCGATGGAGTGGATGCCAATGGTCTGCCGAGCTGAGCTCGCGAGGCGTGCGTCGTGGCGTCTGCGGAGCTGTGCCTGCGCCGGGGGTCTATCGGTCGGTCCAGTGATGTTACCTGCCGCTTTCCGGTTTCCCCCAACTACCACCCACTCTCTACACTCGTGCAACGTTCAAGTTCGGGGTCACAGTCTCTGCAGTACACTCCAGGGGCGAGACGGTCACTGACTGGCAGGCGCTTGCAATACGGGGGGAAAGGAAGAGGTTCAGGGTGGAGATGTGGGGTGGGAAGGTGCAAAGGAGGGGCAAAGGAGGGGCTCCACCGACAAGCCGCGCCGCCGAGCGCTGCGGCTGCACATTTTTGCCGGCCATCCGGCGACAGGCGCCGCGCAGCTCTCCACCCTCGCGACAAAAGCCTCCGTCATACTCGACCATCCTAAGCCTTGGTGTTGGCGAGCAGTGCCTCGCGCAGGATGCCGGCCGCCTCCTTCAGCTGCTCCTCGGAGATGACGAGCGGGGGGGCGAGGCGGATGATGTTGCCGTGCGTGGGCTTGGTGAGGAAGCCGCGGCGCGCCAGGTCCAGGCACAGCTCCCAGGCGGAGCAGCCCTTGCTCTCGTCGATGACGATGGCGTTGAGCAGGCCCTTGCCGCGCACCGACTCCAGCAGCGGGGTGTCGATGGCGCGCAGCTGGGCGCGGAAGGACTCGCCCAGACGCGCCGAGGCCTCTGCCAGGCCCTCGTCCACCAGCACGCGGAGCGAGGCGACGGCCACCTTGGCGGCCAGGGGGTTGCCGCCAAAGGTGGAGCCGTGCTGCCCGCGCCCGATGCCCAGCATCACCTCGTCGTCCGCCAGGACGGCGGAGATGGGCATGGTCCCGCCCGACAGCGCCTTGCCCAGGATGAGCATGTCGGGGCGGACGTCGTCGTGCTGGTAGGCCATCATCTTGCCCGTGCGGCACAGCCCCGTCTGGACCTCGTCCGCGATCAGCAGCGCGCGGTGCTTCTGCAGCAGGGCCTTGGCCTTGGCCAGGTAGCCGGGGTCGGGGACAACCACGCCGGCCTCGCCCTGCACGCGGGTGTGAGAGGTGGAATGGCTGGGTGGGGGCTGGGGATGGTGCTGTGGGAGGGGAGCATGAAGCCTTCGCAGCCAGCGCCAGCTCGCCTACCGAGCTGAAAACCAGGAATGGGTGGCCTGGCGGCGGAGGCGCACCTCCTGCCTCCCACTCGCCGCACCTTTGGCATCCCCATGCCCCTGCGCCTTTGAGGATCGCGTCGCCCACAATGCATCCCCTGTTCCCCCTGTCCACCCCCTGCACCACCCACACCTGGATGGGCTCCACCATGAAGGCCACGATGTTGGGGTCGGCCTCCAGCGCAGCCTCCAGGGCACCCAGGTCGTTGTAGGGGATGATCTCAAAGCCGGGCATGTAGGGGCCGAAGCCCTCGTAGCTCTCCGGGTCGGTGGAGGAGGAGATGGCAGTGGTGGTGCGGCCCCAGAAGTTCTCGCGCGCAAACAGGATCTTGGCCTGGTTCTTGGGCACGCCCTTCACGCTATACCCCCAGCGCCTGCGCAGTGAGCATATGGGGGGCATGCTGGCGGGTTGGGGGGGTCAAGCGAGCCTGAGAGCCCAGGCGGCATGTGCGGATCCTCTCCTCCTCACACACACACACACCATGCACACCCCCCCTGGCATACACAGCCACACCATCCTCGCAACCCCCACCTGGCCAGCTTGACGGCGGTTTCGCCGCCCTCCACCCCCGTGTTCATGGGCAGGACCTTGTCATAGCCCAGCAGGCCGGTGATGTACTCCTCGTACTCGCCCAGGCAGTCATTGAAGAAGGCGCGGGAGGTGAGCGTCAGCTTCTGGGCCTGGTCGATCAGGGCACGGATGATCTTGGGGTGGCAGTGCCCCTGGTTCACCGCCGAGTAGCCTGCCAGGAAGTCGTAGTAGCGCTTGCCCTCCACGTCCCACATGAAAACGCCCTCGCCGCGGGTCAGCACCACGGGGATGGGGTGGTAGTTGTGGGCGCCGTGCTTGTTCTCCAGGTCGATGATCTGGGGAGGGAAGGAGGGGTTTGGGTGGGCTGAATAGAGGGTGGGTGCTATTTCAACGTGCAGGCATGGAAAGCACGCTGTGAATCAAGCAGTGGGAGGCAGGAGGGGTCGAGTCCCAGCAGTGGGGCGTGCAGGACTTTGGCACCGACTGGTGCGGGCCGCGGGGGGGATGGCATCCCACATGAACCCCTCCCGACATCCAAAATAATTCCCATTCATCCAGATGGGGCCATGCGGACGTGGGATGGACCCGAACACAAGCGTCGCACGCACTTTTTGCTGGGCGGGGGTCGGGGCGGGGTCCAGATCATGGGACGACCCGGCCATTCCGCGGAACGCGCCGACAGAAGCCGCTGCATTGGCCTGGCCGGCGCGTCCAAGACGGGAGGCGAGGCGGGAGGCGGTGGAGGTCAGCATGTTGGTGAGGGGGAGCGGGGTGAGACCTAAGGTTCACAAGCCGAAATAGTTTAGAAAGATAGGCGGGCAGATCAAGCTCTCCGCTCGCTAAACTATTGTTTGTTGAGTATAAAGATAGCGTCGGTGGGGTGTAGGGACGGGTAACGGTCTAAAATGGAATGGGATCGCCCGCAGACATCCATTCAAGGGCACCGGGAAACCATCCGAAACCCACGCGGACCGAATTGCAGTATCCAGGTACCACATGAAGCCCCGGAACGCCCATTGCAGGGACATGACTCCTACCATCCAGCGGCCCGCAAGGGAGCCCCTAGCAGTGAAAAATCCTTCGAGTTGACTGAAGGAATCGGTGATATATAGTTTGTATTCTTTCCAGGGGGACACTTCGAGAGAAGGCACCACTGTGCGTCATCCCGCCAGGGAACTGGTTGGCATGGCCTGCATGCGGCATTGAAGGTCCTCAGAGCGACAGCATCCCGATGGTATGTAATGTCTGTGTCGATGTGTCACAGTTCCTGCTTCGAGAGGGCGCCCGCAAAGCCCTCATCTTGCATCCACTCCAGCGTCGCCCTCCCAACTCCCAGGCACTCACCCTGCACACGACCCTGGGCGACCTCAAGCTGGAGCTGGCCTGCGGCGACTGCCCCCGCACCTGCGAAAACTTCCTAGCCCTGGCAGCCAGCGGCTACTACGACGGCACCCTGTTCCACAGGAACATCCGCGGGTTCATGATACAGGGCGGCGACCCCTCCGGCACAGGGAAGGGGGGCAAGAGCATCTTCGCCACGGCTACCGGCAAGTTCCCGGATGAGCTGGTGGACAGCCTGAAACACTCCAAGCGCGGCGTGGTGTCCATGGCCAACTCCGGCCCCAACACCAACGGATCCCAGTTCTTCATAACCTACAAGGCGCACGCCCACTTGAACGGTGCGGCAAGCTGGAGGCTGACGGTTGCGGGGACGGAAAGGGATAGAGGCTGCTATGAAGAGTGACAGCTACTGGTCGCGGGGACTGTATTGTCTACTGGGCACCGGGGATCCGACCATGCCACCTTGTGCAGCGCCAATCCCCTCCTTCCTGAAATGCTCATGCCCAGGCATAGCCTCACGCCCTCCCTGATGCACTCCCCGCAATATGCAGGAAAGTACACCGTGTTTGGGCAGGTCATCGATGGCATGGACACCCTGGATCGCATGGAGAAAGTGCCGGTGGGGGCTGCAGACCGGCCCGTGACCGAGATCCGGCTCAAAGGCATAACGATACATGCCAATCCCATTGCGGGCTGACCAGATTGCGCTCCCTGACATTTCCCTTCAAATCGTATCGATGAACTGTGTAAAACCCTCTAGAAACTGCGGCGCGAGGCCCTGCCAGCCCGTGGGTCCACTGGGCTCTCCGGCCCATGCATTTGAATCATTGAATCCGCGCGGGACGGCCCCTGCCTACTTAAAACTTGAACGGGGACATGCACGACACAAGACCGGATGATCCGCTGGGCTTCCCTGTCCCTTGCTCGTCCACTGAATCAGCACGTAAGTCTTTGTTCGAGGGCAGAGGGTTCGGTAGGGGCCTGCGCACGTCCTCGCCACCTCGGACGCCGCGACGGCCACGCAGGCAGCCATGTTGTAGTCGCGGGGGCGAGCGCAGGCGAAAGGATCGATTGTAATACTGTTCACAACCAGGTCTGGCGTAATTACGAGGTCAGGAGATCGCCGACAGACATGGCCGGTGAGTATGTGGCATGACCGAGATTTTCTAGGTGCATGGTCCCGAGCGGCCGGATAGAGGCCCTGCGCGTCCCTGCTCACTGCCCCCCAGCACCCCACCGCCCAGGCCACGATCTGCGTCCATCGACAGGCGGGCAGATGGAGCTTCTAAACATGGCGGACGATGGGCTGGCCCAGTCCTCCCTGCCGGTGTTCCACCCATTGGAGGCACGCGCTCCCCCGCTACGGGGGACCTCCATCTCCCGCATGGAGGAACTGCAACAGTACCTACGCCAGTGCGACGATCGCCAGTGTTTCAAGATGTATTTCAAGGCAAGTTGGGGACGTTCTAGTTGGCTGTGCCAAGGTGACCCGGTGGACGGCTTCACCTGTCGGTGGAGTGTCCAGCACCCCTGAGCGCTCCCTTCTCCCCATTGTAACAGGTGCTCAACTCCTGCCCCCGGGTGCTCATGGAGGAGATAGCGCAGCAACTTCGAAGAAGGTGTGCCTGGCTTGCTTTCGAGGAGCAGCGAGAGTACAAGGTGGGTGTCTGGCGGCAGCTTGAGGGTGGTGGGGAAGGAGGGGTCTATGCCGCACCTTGTGCTCTTGTTGTCGTCATTTAGCAGAGGTCTCCGGTCTGCTTTCCAGAGCATATGTGGGTGCAGAGACATTGCCTCGTCCTCCAGAACGATCTGTGCAACGTCCATCCGATGCTTTTGCAACAGCAGCAAAAGGGATCAACCGTAGGCCAAACCCCAGCTCAGCCAGGACCCACCCCAGCGCCCACTTGCAATACACATCGCAGCGTGCCAAGGCCCTCAACATCATGGGCCGCCCCGGGTCGGTGCCGCCCGCCTCGCCGGGAGTGGGGACGCGCGACGGCGCAGACGCTTTCTGCCTGGGCGTCCTGCAAGACAACACCTCCCCCGGCATCTTCGAGACGGGTCCCACGGCAGTGGCAGAGCCGGTTCGCCCACAGCAGGCGGCCGGTTGCGAGACGACGACAATTTTGATGAGGAAGGTACGACCCAAATGTCATCAGGAGGGTGCAGCATGCAGTGGAACAATCATCTCATGGTAAAATGGGATTGCCCTGCATTGGTCTGTTGAGGGTGTCTTGCGTGCACCCAACCTCCTCCTCATCACCCAACAGTCCCAGCCTCTCCTCGGGAAGAAGGACCGAGAGAACCGGCCATGACTGCCCACCAGCTGCAGAGCATGACCCCGCTGTCGCACGCCGCGCTCTCCTTCCTCCCCCTCAGCGCGTCGCCAGCGCTGTCCCTGTTTGGCTTGCTGGGCTCGCCGCTGTCATCGCCGCAGCGCCCTAAACCTGACCACAATGCCACTGACTTGACGTTATAAATAGGAACAAGGACCCACACAGCCGCCTCGAAACCTTTTCAACTTCAGGCAGACCGCGAGTCATGAGGTAGTGGGGTGTCGTCTCCAGGATGTGCATGCGCAAGCAGGCTGTCCCGGTCTGTCAGTGCTCCGTTCGAAAGCGCATGCTGGCCCTCAGCACCCGCAGCACGGGCCGAATCGGCGCGGTTCCCGAGCACTAAAGCCCACGCAGGGACGATCATGGTCACTGCAGATTTCCCAACACCCAGGAGCTCGCCGCCATGAAGGTTCCCCAGGGGATCGAGCAGACCCTGGTGGCAGCGGCGGACCTCTTCAACTCCCCACCCCTCCTCCTCCTCCTCGTCGGGCACTGCTTGGCCTGCGCCAACTTCGTGCGAGGAAAATATGGAGACCGGTGGCTGATCAACAACCTGGCAGGCTTCGCCATCGCTTTCGGGGGAGGCTCCATGTCGGCCCTCCTTCTCCAGGCACGCGGGGCTTGTTGTCGGGGCCGAGGCCCAGCTGTCCTGGGAAGGCTGTTTTTTCATCCGCCGCGCTATATTCCAATCCCACTCGACGACCCCGTGCCACAGGATCCTGGCCGTGTGCCGATCGCCGTCTTCTCCGGCGACGTCCTCCTGCTGATTTGGGGGCTCAGCTGGTGGGCGCTGAGCTACTCCCCTTTCAATGTCGTCGGCAGGCTGATGGACCTCCGCCCCGTTACCACCCTGGCCAACGTGCGTCGACTTCAGGAGTGGAAGTATTTCGAATGGGAGGGCGCACAGAGATGCAACATGGCCCTGCTGCATGCTGTACCAAATGTTGCCCTTGTTGAGGCACCCACGTCGATGCAGCAAAGTCGACGAGGGCTCCTCTACCCTCACCTACACGATCGCTCGGCTTGACCAGACCTACTCTCCAACCTCTACATGTCACCTTCCAGGTCGCGCTTTCCATCCTGCGTGCTGGGATCATCGCGCAGCGTGTAGACTACATGGTGGCGACATACCCAGGGCACAACATCGCCGCGATCGTCATCGCCATCATCGCCTCCTCCGGGGGCGGCATGATCGTGGACGCGCTGGATATCGGCGCTGGGTACTCCAAAGGTGGGGGCTGGTCGCTTTGCGAGCCGGGAGTCTGGAGCGTGCAACTTTGGCATGCTGGGGCAGATGCACAGCCCATAGCTTTGCTGCGGCTCACTTGTCTGGATATAGGAGAGGTATATACTGAAGTGGGCCTCCACTTGCCAGACCTCCTGGCCCAGTAACGATACTAAACCCCACTCCCAGCACTCCTTCCCGCTCCTAAAGGCCCTGCTGAGCTGGCGACGCCTGGATTCGTGCTGCGCTCCGGCGCCTTCCTGGCCATCTTCCACCTCGCCAGCGTGCACCTCCTGGGGCTGCTCAGCTCCCGCGCCTCGTTGGGCGTCATCACCACCCTGTTTGTCGCACACACGCTGGCCTCTGCCATCCTGCAGGCCCCCCTGGACTACACCCGGCCCCTGGGCATCCTGCTCCACAAGGTCGGTGGCAGGCATGGTGGAGTGGGTGCACAGAGGATGTCGCAGTGGACACATACTCAAGTGGTGGTGGGAGAGGGTCCTCGTGCAAAGTCTTGCCTGCTCCGCTGTTTGCTTTTTAAACCCTCCCCTCCTTGCATCTATGAAAAGGTGACCAATATCCCTGTGCCGGTCGGGGGAAAGACCAAGGCCCCGCCGAGCAAGCCGGTGACGCGGAGCCAGGCAGCGCTGAGCAAGGAGGTGGACGGGCACCAGGAGCAGTACCCATCCACGCCCTCGTCGAGCAAGCAGACACCGCGGCGTAGGACCACCGCCGGGAAGCGGGAGTGAGCCTGGCGCTGCAGGGGCGGCCAGGCAGTGGGCCCAGGCAGGAGGGCAGCAGCGCAGTGGCGCAGGAGGCCCTGTCCAGCCACACATGCATCTCAAGGCGCGCATGTTTTTTTGAGCGAGCGAGCTGACGAACACCCCCTGGTATTGTTTTGTGTGAGTGGCATGACCCCATAGGTCTCTGATGATTTCCACTCTCGCGCCTTGAATAAGACATCTCGGCGACGTCAACCTAATGCATGTCGGAGACTCAAACCGAGGTTCCACCAACTCGACGGGCCACAAGCAACTCAACAACGCTGGGACTTTTCTCGGTACAGGGGGGCAGGATGTAATGAGCTGATCACCGAGCACCTCGACCTGGGACGCCGGGATGTCGGTCTTCGGAGATGCCTCGCACAGCAGCTGGCGCACCCTGATCGCCTTTGGCCTACTGGGTCTCTTCAACAACATAAGTGCGATGAGATGGATATGAAATTTGGGGGTTCTCCGCGCCCATGCCTCGCCCTGGCGTGGCAGACACCTTGGCCTTCACACCTCTGCATCACTAATCCTGCCCAGGCTACGTGATCATGCTGGCCGGCGCCAACAGCATCTCGGCCGCTGCCGTAGGCCTCGTGTACCTGGCTGCCGTGGGCCCGGCCATCATCGTCAAGGCCTCAGGCCCCTACTGGTTCCATGCGGTGGGGTACCCTCCCCGCATGGCCGCCGCCGCGGCCCTCATGTCAGGCTCCTTCTGCCTGGTGGCCCTCAGCGCCTCCCGCCCCCTCCAGCTCCTGGGAGTGGCGCTGGCCTCCTTCCAGGTACGTCTCATTGAGGCAGGGGAGCCTGAGCGAGGTTGAAGGGAGTGTGGTATGAGTTGCCAGGGTTGGCCTGCGTTTCGTCATGCTTGGCTGCCCAGACCATCTGCCACCCAAGCGTTTGGAGCGGGGGCAGTTTCCTCGATATCCAACCCGACCCATTCCCTCGCGCCCCTGCCCTCCATCCAGGGGGGCCTGGGGGAGGCCTCGTGCCTCGCCCTCAGCGCACGCTACGGCTCCGACCGCGGCCCCATCACGCTGTGGAGCAGCGGCACCGGTTTCGCCGGGGTGGCGGGGTACGCCTGGGTGGCGGCGCTGCATGTCTGGGCGGGCCTCAGCTTCAGGACCACCCTCCTGGCCGGCAATGTGCTGGCCGGCGCCTGGCTGGCCACCTTCTTCCTGCTCCTGCGGCCCCCGCCCCCGCGGCCAGTGCCCCTGCCTACTTCAGACGGCGAGGAGGACGACGACACCGCGGCCAGCGCCGGCCCGGCGCCAATCGACCCCGAGAGGGTGCCCCTCCGGCCCGCTGCAGCAGGCGGGCTGCTGCCGCGCTCCGGCAGCCGCTCGGCGCTGGCCGTGGAGGCCGGCGGCAGCCATGCAGCGACGGGGCGGGGCGCGGGCGCCGGCCCGGGCAAGCCAAAGCCAGGGGGACGCACGGCAGCGGCGCTGAGCATCCAGGAGAGGCGGCCGGCGGGGGCGGGCAGGGGCGGCGAGACCGGCCCCGGCGCCGCGGCGAGTCTCCCGCCCTCTGCCCTGGGGCCCTTGGGCCGGCTGTGCTTGACCCTGGGGCTCTGGCCCTTCACGGTGCCCCTCTTCACCGTCTACCTGGCCGAGTACTCCATGCAGAGCGGTGCCTGGACCGCCATCGGTGGGCCGGTTGTATCAGAGGGGTATGGAACAGTGCAGGGCCTCCTGGTGCTCTTCATCAGTCTGAGTGTCTGTTGCCGGAGGGTGCAGGGGGCCTGGACCCTGTTTGCAGGGCGCATGCCTGTGGAAGGCTTGGCATCGCCTGCCCTGCGGGTCTCGCGTCCAGAGGCTGAGATCAGGACCCCCTGTACCACCCACTCACCGCCCCTGCTACCAACAATCAGGTTTCCCTGTGACGGACGCTGCGGCCCGCCACGCCTTTTACATCTACGCCAACTGGTGCTACCAGGCCGGCGTTTTTGTGAGCCGGTCCAGCGGCATGGTGTGGCAGCCGGGCATGGCAGCGCTGTGGGCCATGCCGGCCTTGCAGGCGGGCCTCCTCTTCTTCTTCCTGCACGATGCCGTGGTGCACTGGTGGTACGGCTGGACGCTCCTCCTCCCCTGCTTTCTCACAGGTGGGTGTGCGAAGTCTGTGTGGGGTAGGTGTGGGTGGAGACTGGGGGGAAGGGGCCATTTCATTGACGCCGGGACTGAGCAGCCTCGCCGGAGGGCATTACCTCCTGCCGAGATGGCCCCCAAGCCACCGCCTCACGCCCTCCACATCTCCACAAACAGCCGCACCATGTCACCTGACGCACTCCCCTTCGCACTCCCTTCGCACTCCCCTCGCAGGTCTGCTGGGCGGGGCGGTGTACGTGAACGCGTTTGCACTGCTGTCCCGCTCTGTACCCCCAATCCAGCGCGAGTTCTCCATGGCGGCGGCCTCCGTCGCCGACTCGCTGGGCATCGCGTGCGCTGACGTTGCGGGGGTGCTCATCCAGGGCTGCCTGTTCAAGATCAATCGCATCCCCGGCGCCGACTACACGTGTTGAGCTGTGGCTCACACCTCCTGGGCTGTGTGAGGCTTGTGAGGTCAGCTCGCCGTTTTCCAGCGGTCCATTTTTTCGATCTCTGCATCCCTGAGGACGTTGCTGACACCAGCCCTCGGTGATCTTGCCAAACCTTTCCAGCGGTCTCATTACTCTGCCGCTGGGGCGCTGTGGTGAATGCCATGATCCTTTGTCAAGCTTGTGTACAACACTGCGGATTCGTGTCTGAATGGGGAACCCAGGGTTTGACGCTGGGCAGGGAAGAGGGTACGCACCACAGGCTGCACCGAGATGTCACACTAGCCATTCAGCAAGCCGGCGCCAAGGTCCGGTATTTATCAAGGGGCAGGTGGCGGCTGGCCAGCCGACGGCGATCGCGCAAGGGAGGCGAGGCTGTCCTTGAGAGTGTGGACTGCATCGGCACAGCCCCGCCAGACGGCCGCCGGCGCGGCAAGCAGCCTGATCCAGAGCCGGTGGGCGAGGACAGCGAGCATGGAGCTCAGGGCGTGTAATCCATTCAGCAAAGCCGACGGGGTCCGCCCCACCCAACCCACAGCCACTGCCAGGCGGTCCTGGAGGAAGAAAGGACGCCCGGTGTCGGAGGCGCGGGTCGCAGCCGCGGCCGCCCCTCCCGCATCCCTGGCGTGCATCTGCGCCCGGGCGGCGTCGAGCGCCCCACGCACGGCGCCGTCCTGCGCGGCGCCGGCGGCGGCCAAGGCGCGCGCCCCCGCATCGTCGCTCGTCGCCAGGTCGGCCGCCGCGGCGCAGACGGCGGCGGCCTCGCGCGCCTCGCGCGCGGCGCCTGCGGCGAGTGCGGCCGCCTCGCCCGCCAAGCGGTGCGCGAGCTCGGCCCGTCGCGCTGCCGCCCCTGCGCCACCAGCCTCCCTGGCGGCAGCAGCGGCCCTGGCCCGGAGCTCCGGGGAGGGGAGGGCCGCGAGGCGCCCCGCCGCCGACGCGCTGGCGGCCTGGGAGGCAGCCGCCGGCGTCGCCCGCGGCGCCGGCATGGAGGGGTCCCATTCCGCTCCGATACCTTTCGGCGATGCGCTGCGCACAGCCGGCTGCTCTTCAGGGCCGACCTCACTGCCATCCCGGACCTGGGTCTGGGTGTGAAGAATGGGGTCCTCGCTTGCCTCCCCTGCCGTCTCAGCTTCCTCCCGGAATGGCCCTGGCGCATGCCTGCCCTCATCGCTCGCCGGGGCAGGAGGCGGGGCCCTGGCAGGATCAGCGGGTGCAGGCCCGGCCAGGGGCGCAGGTGTGTGTCCGGGGCGGGCCCGAGAACCGACCTCCGCGGCGACAAAGGTGCTGGATCCAGGGCTGACCCCTCGCTCCGCTGCCGAACCTGTCCCCGGCGGGACGGGCAGGCTCGCAGAGCCCAGCGGCTTCAGCCCCGACAGGGCCGCTGCTCTCGAGGTGCTTCGGGTGGGAGTGACGGGCAGCGTGCCACACCTCAAGTCTGCAGGTGCTCTGGCTGCCTCGACGGCTGTCAGGGTCCCAGTCTGACTGGTTGCAGGCTCAGAGGCCGGCGCGGCAGACCCCTCATGGAGGCGTTGGTAGGCACCTGCACCATGGAGTGGTGGGAGTCGTGAGGTCAGCGTCCCCATGCCAACCTCTTCGAAGCAGAAACGAGAAACGCAGGGACCCGCCGCTCCCAATCACACCGCGGCCATCTGTCCAACGCACGGAGTCGAAGGTAGAAGAATGCGGAGATGAAGGCCGCCCCCCCGATGAGGCCAAAATACACCACTCGGCCTGCACTTCCAGAAAGGAGGAAATAAGGGTGATGATGGTCTGTGTATACCTCACACTGAGCCATGCTCCATATCTGTCTGGAGGGATAGATTCATACCGCGCGGCCATACACCAGCGGATCCACCTACCCAGAATTCCAGCAAATGAAGTATGCCTCACTGACTTCGGCCTGTCCCTCCAATCATCCCAGGATCTGCCAGTGTCGATGGGCACCTCATCCCAGCTGGCCAGGGAGGAGGCCTGGAGGCCAGCATCGGGGCGACGAGCAACGTGCACTGCATTCTCTGCCGGCCCTACCCCCTGCACAGGGGGACCAGCGGCTTCGACCGGGGTCCCTGGCTCATGAGGGTTCGCGCCGTTCGACGAGCTGTACAGTCGATGGTGGAACACTGTATGAGAGTGCCTCGGCTTCAAGGGAAACCGCAGAAGGGTGGGATGGACATGGGATGCCTGTCGTTGGCCCACAGAGGCTGTGTGAGCACATTCCCGCCTGCTGCTACCCTCGCACGTAAAAGGGGTCACCACTGAGATGTTCATTTTCTTCTCATCGTGCTGTTTCGTTCTAGTGATTTTGACAGCCATCGGTGGCACCCTCGAGGTACAGGATTGCTCCTCCGACAGGTGCCCCGAAGTGCTGTGCGTGCTGCATGGATCACTTCCGCACGATGGAGGGAAGCCCTATGTCTCCCCTGCCCAGGACCTCATCCCATTCGACGGATTTTCTCGCGGCGATCAAGAGCTTGGATCAACATGAGGGTACCCAGGAAGCCTGATGAGAACGGTACGGGGTCGTGGATGAGGTGGTCTGGACTGGCCCTGCGTGCCTCCGCTCCCCGCGTGCCCATATGATCAAACTCGGCCTCCCGTCGCAGGATGGCTGGGCATGGGACCCATTGTCCTGGGACTGATCCTCCTGCACATCGCGGCCCTGGCCTTCTGGATCGTGGCCCTGGTTCGCACAAGCGGAGGCAAGGCCGGAGCTAGGAAGTCGCCGCTCAAGCAGCAGTGAGCCGGGCCGCACGCTTGGATCCCTGCCATGATGAGAATGACCCTGCGCGGGGTCCCACCCGCCCTGGGTCCAGTCTGTCGCGCCCTGGCCCGCCCAGGGCTGGGTGTTTGCCCCAGGCCGGGTGCACCACAGCGAGCCCTCCGCCCACTGAATCGACCCCTGGCCAGTATCCAGACCCCCGAACCTGCCGCCACGTCATTTTCAAATGACGCTGCCGCGGCACCCGCCCCGCCCCACATCCCCGTCCTGCTGGAGGAGGTGCTTGGGGTTTTCAAAGGCGCGCACATTCCCTCTTTCTTCGACGGCACGCTGGGCGCGGGCGGGCACGCGGCCGCCGTGTTGGAGTCCCACCCGGAGCTGCGGGTCCTGCTGGCTACCGACCTCGACGCCGCCGCTCACGCCATCGCCGCCGCGCGGCTGCGCCGCGCCGGGGCGGCCGTCAGCCGCCACCCCAACCTGGGGTCTCTCTCGCCGACGGCTGCCGGAGGGGGACACACAACTGTGCCCGGAGACCTTACAGTCGCTGCGCCCAACAACGGCACCCTTGCTGCACCTGCAGACGACCCAGAGATGGCCATCCCCAGGCCGGGCACCGCACCCTCTGCGCACATTCTGCACGCCAGCTTCCTGGCGGGTCCCGAGGCACTGTGGCGGGCGGGCCTGGCGGGGTCGCTGGGCGGCGGGCTGCTGGACCTGGGCCTGTCCTCCATGCAGCTGGACGCCGCGGCGCGGGGCTTCTCCTTTGGAAAGGACGGCCCGCTGGACATGCGCATGGACGGGGCGGGGGCCCTGACCGCCGAGCAGATCGTGAACACCTGGTCAGAGGACGAGCTGGGCCGCATCCTGCGGGAGTACGGCGAGGAGCGGAGCTGGCGCGGCATTGCACGCAGGTGCCAGGGGGGGGGTGGATGCCTGGTGGCGGTGTGGGTGTCAGGGTGCGGGAATGGAGCCGGAGGATGCAGATGAACCCTAGATGTCACAGAAGTAACCCGGGGCGGTGGCCGCGGAGCGAGGCGTACACCCCCCCAGTCTGTGATGCCTCACATGCCCTGCCCACTTCTCACCTGCGGCAGGATCGTCGAGGCGCGGTGCAGAGACGGGCCCCTGCTCACCACCAGCCAGCTGGCGAGTGTGGTCGGCCACCCGGGCCGACCCTCTCCTGGCAGGAAGGCAGGCGCGCGGAAAGCCACGAGGGCCAAGCACCCAGCCACGCAGACCTTCCAGGCGATTCGCATCGCGGTGAACGGCGAGCTGGCATGCCTGGAGGCAGCCCTGCCCGGGCTGATCGACGCCCTGGCCCCCGGCGCCCGCCTCGCCGTCATCACCTTCCACTCGCTGGAGGACCGGGCGGTGAAAATGGCCTTCAAGCGCGCCGCAGGGGAGCTGGACCCCGGGGACGAGGAGGTCCTGCCCGCCTGGCTGGCCTCCGCCAGGAGGGACCAGGCCAAGGAACAGGCCGTGGTACGCGTGGTGACCAGGCGCCCCCTCGTGCCGGGGGAGGCGGAGGTGGCGCGCAACCCGCGAGCGCGCAGCGCCAAGCTCAGGGTCGTGGAGAAGCTGTGAGGTGCGCTGGCGGCGCGGTCTGGGAGGGTTGGAACCCTGATGATGCATGGCCCGTCACCTGGCCGTGCCTGTGGCAATGCCAATCCAGGCCTGACCGAGATGTGGCCGACGCCTTGTACATTGCTGATCCTGCAAATGGAATCTCAGATGGCAGAATCACTGGCCACCCCTTTCGAGCCTTGGTGATGCTGTATGGAGACGACCTGCCTTGGAGAAGGCCCGGGGCGGCAGGCGACTCCGGTCAACCGGATACGGATCCACGAAGCCATGGAACCCTGTCCCCACGATCTCAAGCACTTGAAGCAGTCACGCCCATTCCCACCTACCATTTATTTTTGTTCCAGATTGGCTCCTGTGGTAAAAAGATCCAGGGGCCGCCGAAATGGCATCCCCGGGACCTCCTCCCATTGATACGAACGAAGGGTCTCCCCGTGACGCCGACACCGTCTCTGTCTCCGTCTTGACCAATGCCGACCCAGAGCTCCACGAGGCGCAAGGTGCCCAAATGGTTGTTCAACTGGACAGCTACCACGTCGTACCCGCCTTCGCGAGCTCTGAGAACGTGCAGCTTGGTCGCGAGATCCACGTGCGTTCTGGGCCGGTCTTATGGTGGGGACGGAAGGGGAGCCATCCGGTCACTGCTTCTCGTCCGAAACAGCCTGGCTGGTACACCATCTAGGTGTTAGTGATGAAGTTTACGTTGGAACTGGCGGTTCAAAGCGTTGAAGAATAGGGATATGGGCGGGCTGCTTTGCATTGGATGGTTTGGGGGATCTTGTGCAGACTGGTGAAGCAGTCATTCTGGCACTCTGTAATGCTTGATCAGGATCTAGAGATCCAGCTCAAGGCTGCGCGGCTGGCTGCAGAGGAGGATAGGGAGCAGAGCCTACAGCTGCGGCGCCACCTGGGCCGCTCACAGAAGAGCATCACGTCTCTTCAGCAAATGGTGGGCAGTGTGACGGATCTTTGGCTGACCTCTCCCTCTGGGAAACTGTGTGGATGCCTGAGGGAGGACATGAGGGTTAGGGTGAGGGGTCTATGCCAGGCATGATTGCTGGTGGATACCATTCATTGGTGGCTGCTGGTTGATCATCTACCATCTTCCTGCTTGGGGCCAACTCTGTTCTCCCCACGACTCCCATGCTCAGGTGTGCGATGCCACGCAGCAGCTCCAGGGCGAGTCCACGCTGCTGCAAATCGCCCGCTTTGCCCTGAAGAGGACCCAGACGGAGGCCCTGCGCTTGCACAGGGTTGCAGACACAGCCAAGGAGTTGGAAGAGGCCGTGCGCAATCGGCAAGTGGCTGCAGGGCTGCAGCTGCAGCATGCACAAGCCAGAACGCACCAGGCTCAGGTGGGGTCCTTTGGATTATTCCCCGACCAGAGTAACCTAGCCTGTCAAGCGGGAATAGGACCAAGTATAGCTGGAAGGTTGACCGGGTTGGGGTTCCAAGCAGCTGACTGCTTCGAATGGGTAGACCATCTGCGCATCCTGCCGCACTGACCTAGCATGCCCTCCGGGGTCCTGATGAAATCCGCGCACCGCAAGCGACTGTCCCTCCCCTGCTACACCCAAGGCTACGCTGGAGGAATGGACTGAGAACCTGACATACCAGGAAACAACGCTGGCCTCGGCCCAAACCCTCACCCAGGCCGAGGAGGCTGAAGAACGGCGGCTCATGCAGCACGTGGGTGGCACCAAATATGCATGGAGACGTCTGTGCATGGGTGCCCATATGGGAGGACAACCTCCCTTTAGACACCACATGCACCTACATGCCATGCACCCAAGCAAAGTATGTTGGTCTCCGACACGAAACGTAGATCCAGAAGGCTGCTGAGACGGTCAAGAATCTGGAGCAGGAGGTCCTGTCGGAGTCTGCTGAGGCAGAGGTATGCACCGTGGTCCATGGCGCCCAGGTTCTGGGCATGTCCATGTGTTTCGATGCCATGAATGGGCAAGAGCACCGAGCGATGCATCAGTTCCTAAAACCACCCTGGCACCTGATGGGGGGACTGCTGTTGCCAGCACTCTTCATGCCCCCTCATCCACAGGCTGTGCTGTTAGAGCTAGAAAGGGTGGCGGGGGCGTACCGCCAGGCTCACCAGGAGCACCAGGACCTGCTGCAAGCCGTGGAGGTTGCCCGCGCCGGGCTGAAAGAGGCTGATGCCTCGCTGGAGGCCCGGCACGCCGAGGTGGCACGCTCTAGAAAGGACGAACAGGGCGGCAGGGCGGCGGCCGCCGCTGCGCAGGCGAGGCTGGACGGCTTGAGGCAGGAAGCAGCTGCCAGGGAGCATCAGATCGCCGCTGCAGAGGCCCAGCGGGCTCAGCGGGCTCAGGAACTGCATGCAGCTCAGCAGGCGGAGCAGGACGCTCAGCAGAGGGTGGAGGACCTTCGGCTCCAGCTCTCCAGGGTGAGTAGGCCTGGTATGGGTGGCTCGGGTGCTGATGGACAGGCAGAATGTATGCAGGGCTTGCCATGTGTCCAACCCAAATTGCTGTAGGGGGAGATGTGCGCGAATGCATGGAATGCTTGTCGTCAAGTTCCTGTTGCGCTGGTTTACCTATCAAATAAAAATTGCTACCCCTGAAGTGGATGGCTGGTCTAAAGTCGCCCTTGATCACTCCCCGGTCTGTGCAGGCCAGGCAAGAGGTTGCTGGGCGGGAGGAAACACTCGCCAGTGCCAGGGCGTCGCTGGAAGCTCTGCAGCACGTCGCCCAGGCGTCGCAGGCGACAGAGAGGACAGATGCCGCCTGCTTAGTAGGAAAAGGAGGCGAGGAGGAGCAGGGCACAGGGGCACTGCTGGACCTGGAAACAGCCAGGGACGCCGCAGCATTCGAGCTTGCAGGCCTGGAGCGGGAGAGGACAAAGGCGAGAGACAGGGCTGCTGCTGCGGTGGCTGCGCTGAAGGAAGCCGAGCGGAACCTGGGGGTGCTTGCCACGCAGGTCCAGCAGGCAGCGGGGGCCCTAGCAGCCACTCAGGGCCAGAATTCTGCGTTGGAGAAGGAGGTTTTCATGGAGCAGGTGGGTGATTCAGGATGGCACCTTAGGGTTAGGGCGCTGGGTATCTGTGCCCGAGAATGAAACGCATGGTAGCCTGCTGTGCACTGATCTTGCTGCCCTGCTACTCACTCAGGGATCCGGTTCGTCAATCCACTTTTGGATCATACTCTTGTGCCGCTTCAGAACGCCATGGGTCACAAAGTCTTGGCTCCAACCCTTTGGCAGGATGTGCTGTATGGCTGTGAGATGCAGCGGCATAGGCTGGAGCAGGAAGTTGGTCAGCTGACGAGAGGTATCAAGACCGAGGAGGAGGATCTCGTGAAGGCAGTGGCAGCTGCGCGGCAGGTGGGCAGGTGGCTGACTCTCGGGCGTGCCGCATCTAGAGTTGACCTTCCCATGTGCCTCTTCTGTGTGTACCTTGCACTCTGGTCTTGAGCTGCGGAGGACTGGGCACTATCCCAATGACGTACACAGATCTCTGCAGGACCTCAAGACCATGTGTTGGTATTCAACACGATTGCCAAGGATTACCTGCAGTGTTGACCATCACCCTCCCATCTCTAATTTTACCCCACAGGACTTGGCAGGGGCTAAGGCTGAGGAGGCGCGAGTCAGGACCTCAGCAAGGGAATCCAAACTCAGACTCGGTACATTGGTCGAGTCCCGCATCAGGGCTGTTGCAGTGTTCAAGAATGGATCACCATCGAATGGCAGGGAGATGGGGAATCATCCCAAACAAATTTTGTGTGGTACACAGGGGCAACAGAAATTCCCAAGTACCAAAGACGTACACTCATTCATGCACAGAGCAAGCTGTTGCCAAGAAGAACCATGTGGAGGCATGTCTTGTGGAGGAGATGGCTGCGTTACGGCTGCAAATCACTGCTGTCCAGACCCTAGAAAGGTTACTTTTGGGAGGCACTGATTTGGCGGTGACTCCTGGCGATCAGAGATTTACTGGAGGCCGACAGAATGTCTTGACCTAGAACTCAGAGAGATGTTGCACTCAGCACCCTGATCAAACCTCTACACTTCCCCCGATGCTTGATGGTCTGCCTGACCCAACACTCTGCAGGATGGTTCACTCTGCCAATAGGGAGAGGGTGGCTGCACTGGTGAAGCTGGACATGTGGCGCATGGAGGTCCGCTCCTTAGATGTGACTGTAGACAGGTGCGCTCTGATTCCCTCTGGGAAGGGATCCCGATATGGCACGAGAGTAAGGCACGCTTATTTGGAAGCCTGTCATGTTGATCATGGTGCATTGCAGACATCATCAACTCCAGATCCCACAGCATCACCTCAAACAGCTCTGTCATGGCCCAACTTCTACCCAGGGAAAAGTCGGACCTGACACAGCATCAGGCAGCTCTTCAGGCTCAGAGTCAGGCATTCCTCCAGGAGCAGTCACAGCTGGCTGACCGCCTCGCAGAGCTCAAGGTGGAGGAGATTGGGCGCTGCTACAATGATGTTTGGGAAGCTGGGATGCATTGTCATCGTCGGTTTGTAGTCTTGGGTTGCCAATCACCACTGCTGCAAACTCTGCCTCCTTACCTTAGGCACTGCTGGCCAAGGAGCAGGCGGCAGCAGGACTGGCCCTGAGAGATCTGTGTGTCCAACAAGCTGCCACCGCGGCGATCCGTGCGAAATTGGAGGTCCTGGCTTTCAAAGCTGGATGTGCTCGAGGTGCGCTGGGGGGGGTGAGGGCTCTGGGCAAAGGACCAGTTGATGAGAGCGGAGTACACCAGTCACGTTGAGCCCCGGCTCGTGAAGCCACTGACTTAACTCGCAGAAGGACCTGTCTGAAGGAAGTAGGACGTATCACTAGATCAGACAAGCATGCAGGGTTGTTGAGCACGTCAAGCAATTTCACTCATACACCGCGATCTTTGCCGCATGGCAGGGGCTGAGAGGGAGGCCACAGCCGCAGCCGAGGAACATGAGGCCCAGGAGGCCGTGACAGCTCTGCAGATGGAGCTTGTTAAGACACAGGACCTCTCTGCAGGGCTGGAAAAGGCACTGAGTGAAGCTCAGGAGGCGAACGCCTTGTCTGCCAAGCAGGGCAGGCAGGTTTGGGTGGGGGGTGGAAGTCCGTTCCTGGCAAGGTTCTGAACGGTAGGACGGTGCTGTGTCGAGCATGTGATACTCCAGCTTTGGGTTCCAGGTGAACCAACTGCATTGATGCTCCTGTGCAGGCTCGCATCCAATCAGCAGATGGCGGAGCAGATTGTCGAGGACAAGGCAGCCCTGCTCAAACTGCTGGACGAGGTCAAGGTGCGAACAGGAATGCTGGACGGTGGCCATGCTTCTGAGCCCAGCAGCGCAATGCATCGCGCAAGGCGCAGGGAGCTAGGGGTCATGACAGTGCGATGCTTTCAAATGATGCCCAGCTGCCCATCCCCTCTAAACTCATTATCTCGCTCCCATGGGACTCTCCTGTCCAGGAACTACGCCGGGAAAACGCGGCTGCAGAGCAGGCGGCTGAGGCTGCAGAGGCGGCATGCATGGAGGCCGAGGTTGAGGTGGAAGCGGCACGAGCTGAGCTGGAGCGACTGCATGCCGCCCAGGTGCAAAACCAGGCAGCTGCTCTCGTGCTTGTCTTCTGTCGCATCGGAGAGCATGTCTGCCAACATCCTGGCCATGAGGTACACCCTTCACCCATGTTCCCCACCCATCATCACAACCTCCCACCCCCCCCTCCCAGGTCACTGCCAGGAGCTCCCTGGTGGACCAGCTCGCCAAGGCCGCCAGGGCGCACGGCGCCCTGGCGCGGACCCATGCGCCCACGGCGGCCCGCTGTGCGCAGCTTCCCGCCGCCGCCTGGTGTAGGGCAGCGGGGGCAGACCTCCGCCTGCCTGCCAGGGTCGAGTCGCTGCGGCCCCTGGCCCAGTGGCTGGACGTGGCAGGCGTCCCTGTCCAGCTTGCCATGCTGTCCATGCTGCAGCGGGCGGCGGTGGACGCCCTCCTGGCCGCCGACGAGGCCTGCCCGGGGGCGGGGGTGGCACAGGCGCTGAGGGAAGCAGCCCCCTGGGCCATCCGCGGCTCGGCCGCGCAGCGCAGCGGGCGCCTGCGGCGGCGCAGTAGCGTCTCGCAGGGCATGGACTCGGCGCGGAGCTGCTGCAGCGCCAGCGGGCAGATCCTGCTGCGAGTGCAAAGCGTGGCGCTGGGGGTGCCTGGGCTCGAGGGGCGCGGTGAAGGATCATGACCCTTGTTTACCAATGTGATGGAGCATCATCGTTACTGACGCTCGATCAGGGGCCTGGTATTGGAATTTGGTGCCATAGAAAGAGTCTCCGCGAGAGGGCCATTTGGAAGTTTGCTACTTGAGACATATCCGCCCAACACTGATGACGTGGATCGATTGCCTCCGGAAGCTGGGCTACATGTGGGGGTTTACGCATGAGTGGTAGCGTCCCACGCTATTGTGTCGGAACTGGGTCCCGAGGTCCCACAACTCGATGGAAGAGGACGGAGTTATTCGAGCGACTACGGCTGAGAACATGGCGGCAGCAACGGAGCACTTCAACCGGGGGAATGGGGCGACCGGCAGTGAGGTACGGAAGTCGGCCTCGTTGTCGGGGATGGGTGCAGAGGGGAAATGCACGACCACGAATCCGATCCACATGATTGTAGGATGCATTGTATGTGTATGTGTGTGATGTCGGAGGATCGCATGAAAGCCTTGGCGAGGACATGCACTGAGACAACCCCTTATTCCCCTCCGACCCCCCAGGCCAGGGCCCACGATGCCGGCGCAGGCCACCTCCCCAAGATATCCCCGAGGGTGACCTCGAGTGCCAATGGGAAGCTGACCGTGGTGTCTACAGGTGCGTGATCTGAGAGGTTTCGACCCCGCCCCAGAGCTCCTCGCGCGCGTGGGGAGGGATTAATGTACAGCACCACAACCCCGACCTGAATTTGCGCTCCCCCCCTCTCTCCCCCAGGTGCCAGGTGGGAGAATGAAGTCGGCTACTCCCGGGCTGTGAAGCGTGGAAACTTCATCGCCGTCTCAGGTACATTGTACGGGAACGCATGGTGCAAGAGTGGGCTGGGGCCCAAGTGGCATCGCTGGCTCTTGCATGCCGAATAATCTGTGACCCTGGCACGTGTCTTGCACCCTGCACGCCGCGCCTGGGTGCCTGCACCTGCGCGGGAGGCCATCAACTCACAACTCAAGTGGCCCCAATGCAGGCACGTCGTCGGTGGAGCAGAGCACTGGCAACGTGCTGCACAAGCGCGACCCATATGCCCAGGCCAGGACGGCGCTGGAGATCGTGGCGCATGGCCTGGAGGCCCTCGGCGCCACCTTGGAGGACGTGGTGAGTGGCAATGGGGCACTGGTTGCTGTAGACGGCCTGTGCAAGGGGTGCCTGCGCGCTGCAGGGTCAGCAGCCTCTGGCACGGTGACCGTAAGCGCGTGGGCACGGACCTGCCCACCTGGACTCCTGCCCCCCCCACCTATATGTGCCGTGGTACATGCCATGCTCAGTCACGCCGACATCCCTGGAACTCCAAACCCCATGCAGATTCGCACGCGTGTCTACCTTCGCAACATGGGCCGGGACTCCGCGGCGGTCAGCCGGGCGCATGGCGAGGTCTTCGGCGCCATCCGCCCCGCCAGCTCCATGATAGAGGTGCAACGCCTAGTGCATGATGACATCCTGGTGCTCATCGAGGTGGATGCCATCGTGTCCTGACCGCGCCCCCTGCCTCACGGGCAGCCTGCGCATGCCTCGCGCACAGACTCCCCGCACCCTGTTGTGGTTGTGAATGTATCGCTGACATGGCCAAGGTGCTGTAAGTGCACTCGAGCACAGAAAACTGGACATGTGCATGGTATTCTTGGTGGTGGGTCACAAAATACTTAAAGGGGGAGGGTACTTGTACTGGTCATGGGGGTGTAAATGAGGACCACTGGCCATTGTTGCAGGGTGGAGGTAGTCTGTGCGACCCCCGAGATGTCTTCTGTAGCCCCTTCGCTGCAGCAGGGAGCCAGGTGACTCATCGTCACCAAAGCCGATGGTCACCATCTCAGTTCACGGTACAGCCCGACGCTCCGCCCCCGGCGGCATCATGTTCGGCCTGGGTGCTCGCCTTGCAGTGACACCGGTCGGCGTTGGGAACACCCTCGAGAGCGGAGTCGATGTGCTTGCCGCACCCGAACCACGTGGGCTTCCCGCACGTTCCACACTTTCGCTGATGACACATACTTGGAAATATAATGTGCTCAAGGAATAATAGCGACGTGAGAGTCGGGTGTATTTGTCGGAATGCCCAGAAACAGTAATCCAGCACAGCAGGCTCCCCACGGCCTAACCTCGAGGGTCCTTGACCAGATCATAAAAAATATGATTGGTTGCCTTCAGCTCATAGACACACTTACCACTCGCCAAGCTGCTCCCTCTTGGTTTCCCGTCCTGTGGCGCGTATCATACCGTGCATAGGTCCTCATCACGAAAGTGGTCGTTGGGCACCGGGATCCCGGAAGGATTCCGCAGGGGTTCCCGATCAGGGCAAGTGCACAGAGCTAGCACGTATGACTACCTGTTGTAGAGACATTATCTCCAGACAAAATATCAGTCACACAGCAAGAGGAGTCCCCGCCGCACCAAGGTCATTCGCGTGATTCATTCCCCGAATGGGCCTGAACACCTGCACACTACTTACCCCGGGTTCTGTGTCGATCATCACGAACCGACCTCCGACATAGTAAGTGCTACGAGATAATATGATCTTATCGTAGGTTAGAAGGATTGGCTGGTAAGACCCGCCCCAGATTTCAGAACGCGCAAGACGGATACAAATTGTACTATGGTCTCGCAGCTCGCGCGCTCTCCCGGGTTCAGTTGGGGGCTAACGCGAGACATACACCTCCTGCTGGGTCGATCGTCGCCCGATTTGCCATAAAAGCCAGATCCTCTATCCAACTGGCGTGCAGAACATCGCACTGGAGATCCCTTGTGGGTGTTTGTAGGAGTACGGGTCTGGTGGCGACGCGCGCGTTGCGAGGGTCTGGGGCCCCCGTCCCAGAGCTCACGGGCCATGGCTCCCAGCACAGCAGGTGCTGGAGCGGAAGCAGAGTATGACCTGTCCATATCCCAAGTGAGGCGGGGGGGTTGCTGCTGGAGGTTGTCCTTCGAGTCTGGGGACCCGACCCTGCCGCTGGACCACCGGTGTCGACGGATCTGAAGCTTCTTCCTGCTCGTCTCCCTCCAGCGGGCATGCCTCGGCTCCTTCTGTGCCCTCCTGGTCTTGTGGATATACTCGGAGATTCTTTCCCGAAAAGCATCGAGGTAGGGTGCCTGGATCTGAAGTGCATGGCTCGTGGGCAGCTCCTTGCCGAGCTTTGGGCTGGCCTTGGGAGCGCTTCCCGTGGGCGGTTGCTTGACGGCCACGCTGGAAGTCGCGTCGCAAACCTTGCGCCTGCCAGGACCTCTTTGTGAAGCGTTGCCCGGCCCCCCCTTCCATTCGAATCCCTTGCTGCCGCAGCGAGTTGGATACCCCCAGCCCGCACCGGAAGCCGGACCGGGAGGAGGAGGCGATGGAGCTGCTGCCGGTGACGGCCAGCCTGGATCCCTCAGCAGAAGTGCCAGCTGCGCACCTCAACGGCATGCACGCGCCCTGCAGCCCCCGTCCCCCGCTCTCCGCGGCCGCCCTGGTTGCGCCAGGCGGGGCACTGTCCTGGGCCGCCATCCGCGGGTCGGGGCTGGCACGATGCGTCCTCCTGGACCGGGCCGCCCTCGTCTCCGCGCTGCCCACGCTGCGAGCGGCGGTGGAGGGGGGCGCCTGGATCATGTGGTTCTTCCTCGCCGATCGCACCGCCTTGCTGAACTCCACCGGCAGGGTGCGTGGCGGTTGGGTGTGGAGAAGGAGGAGTGTGTGCTTCATGTGTGGCCTTGGCTCGGCGAGCACGGCGCGAGGAATGGCACAGCATCTGTTCTTGGCTGATCAGGCCATCCGAGGTTGCCCAGTCGCCTGCCACCCTCCTCCTCAAGCACCCGCCACATCCATCAGGCCTCGGACCCTCCCCAAACACCCCGCTCCCATGCCCCCCAAACTAGATCTACTCGCGTGACACCTTCCTTTTCATGTTCCTGGCCCTGGCCACATGCGCGGCGCTGGCCAGCCAGCGGCCCACGGGGCGGCCGCCTGCTGTGCTGAACCGCGGGCAGACCGAGGAGTGGAAGGGCTGGATGCAGGTACTCTTCCTCCTGTACCACTACTACTCGGCCAAGGAGGTGTACAATGCCATCCGCGTCTTCATCGCCGCCTACGTGTGGATGACGGGGTACGGCAACTTTGCCTACTACTACAAGACCTCCGACTTTGGGATGGGCAGGTGGGAGGAGGGTTTGGGGAGGGGGCAGGTGAAGTGGAGACTCTGCCCTGCCGGCATGGTCATGGATGCATGCGTGGGCTGAGCAGGGCCAGGGAGCTACTCAGTGCACAGACACTGGTTGACACGTGAGTGCGCGGTGCAAGCGAGAGCTGACTGCATCGTGGAAGGCTTTCCGCCTGCGCCGCGCCGTTTCCCCGCCATCCTCAGAAATCCAGGACGTGCGCAAGAAAGCGTCGCCAGGCTTCCTTGGACGCCCACCAGATGCCCATGCGCACCTTTCCCCCCGACGCCCACCCTACAGCCACCCCCAGTGCTTTCCCCCCCCAATCCCTGCCCAGGTTCTGCCAGATGATGTGGCGCCTGAACGCGCTGGTGGTGGTGTGCTGCCTGGCGCTGAACAACTCCTACATGCTCTACTACATCTGCCCCATGCACACCCTCTTCACTGTGTTTGTGTACGCCGGTGAGCGTGCGTGCTGCCACCTGCCAGGGGGCTCGGTCTGGGGTTCGCCCTAATACGCGTGTCTGCGTGGGATAATGCAGGGGACGAGGAGATGTGGCGGGGCCCGCACCACCCACCGAGTCCGGCATTGCCGATGCTGGGGTGCACTCTGGAGCCAGGACCAAAGGTGTCGAGTCCAATGCATACAAAATCCAGCCGGCACTCATGCGCCTCACCCACACCAAAACCCCACCCCAGCGCTGGGCCTGGGGCACGCCCACAACAAGCGCCCCGGCGTCATCTGGGCCAAGCTGGCGGCCTGCCTGGTGCTCACCCACCTCCTCTGGATGAACCGCTCGGTGTTCGACCTGGTCTGGCGCCCGCTGCGCCCCCTGCTGGCGTACACCAACCCCGCCCGGCCTGAGGGCGACCCCATGCACGAATGGTTCTTCCGCACCGGCCTGGACCGCTACGTCTGGGTGCACGGCATGGCCTGCGCCGCCCTGCTCCCGCGCTGGGAGGCGGCGCTGGCGGCGCTGGCGGCGCTGGGGTGCAAAGCGCGGCGCGGCGCCCGGGCCGCCGTGCTGGCGGTCTGCGCCCTGGTGGGATACACATGGTATGCGCACGTCTTCTCCAAGCCCAAGCTGGAGTACAACGCGCTGCACCCCTACACCTCCTGGATTCCCATCACTGGTGGGTGGGTGTGGTTTGCGTGTGGGTGGGAGGGGTAAAGTGGGGCTTGGGAGGGGGGCGGGGGAGGGCTTTTGTCGTCGGAAGGCATTGCACCTGGGGTTGAAGGGGTTTGCTTGGAGAATCTGCGGCAGCCTTGTGTTGTTGGGGAGCAGGCACCACGCGGCCTGCGCGCATGGGGTGCTTGTCGACGCTGGCCTCGCCCCCTCCCTCGAAACACCCCCACCCACACATCCACCAGCATCCCACGAGGCCCATTCGACCCCTCTGTTCCCCCCTCCCCAAAACCGAATAGTGTTCATCGTGGTGCGCAACCTGACCCCCGGCCTGCGTAGCGCCAACCTGGTTCTGTTTGGCTGGCTGGGTGCGGTGACGCTGGAGACCTACATCGGCCAGTTCCACACCTGGCTGCTCACGCGCCGCCCCGACGGCCAGCCCGTCCTCCTCCTGGACCTGCTCCCAGGCTACCCGCTGCTCAACTTTGGCATGGCCACGGGGGTGTACATCCTGGTCTCGCACCGCCTGCACACCACGACGCTCACGCTGCGCGACGCGCTGGTCCCGCACGACGACGACGCCCGCCTGCTGCGTAACGCCGTCATGGGCCTTGCCCTGGCGGGGGGGCTGTACGCCGTGACCGTGGCAGGGGTTGGCCTCGCCGCGGCCCTGGCCCGATGACGGCGGGAGCCCATGACGGCCGGGCACGGGGCCTCTGGCGCCGTCATACGCGGCGCTCCCGCCTCAGTCCCACCCAGCCTGTGGCAACCCGCGGTTTGCCACACTGCCTTTGTAAATGGCGCTCGCCAACCTTGCACCTCACCGGCTGGGCTGCCTGCTGCGCCTTGCCTGTCGTGAATTAATGCCCTTCCCAGCTTTTCCTCCGTTTTGATCCAGCTATGTCTTGTTGTAACACCCTCCAGCCTCTGAAGGCAACAAGTGCCTGGGAAAGGGTGGCAGCTTTGACCGGTCCACGCCGCGCGCGTTCTGTCGTGGTCGAGAGCGCGTGGTGCTGGTCAGCCCGGTCAGCGCAGTCAGGCTCCTGCATGTCGACTCCGGGCATTTAATACGTGGCCTCATCCCTAGGCCGGAATCCGTGAGCGTGCGTATCACCCTTCCGACACCCCACTCCTTCCCAACCACCTCCAGGCGGAAGCGCCTGGTGTGGCCCCGCTCGCAACACCCTCTAGCCACAGTCCCCGTCCCTCATACATTCCCTAAAGCGGATAGCGAGCTTCATCCCACTATCCACTGCCTGTCGACACCTCCGAGAGCCCTGGATCAGTTGCCAATGTAGCTTCCTGCAGCCGGCCTGACACGAGATGGGCCCACCTACCGCGAGCAGGTAGGAGGCCGAGGCGCGATGCATTGTGCCCTAAGACTTCATGATTGTCTTCAATACGCGTTTGTCTGACCCAGATAAATCCCTGGGCAGGTGGGCATGGCTGCGCTCGGTCAACTGGTCTCGCCTGGCGCTGGGCCTGGCCCTGCTGTCCGGCATGATCCTGGCCTACGCCGAGTTCGATGCCGCGCGGCTTGAGGCAGTCCTGATCTGGCTCCAGGGCCACAAGCTCAAAGGAGGGGCCCTGTTCGTGGTGCGCTGGCTTGGGAGGGGGGGAGGGATTGAGGGTACCCCATGCGCTTTACACATCGGCAGGTCGCTCCCTTCTGAGATGGTGCTGACGAGTGCAGGAGCGGGCTTGCATGGCTAGTTGACACACTGTCCACCTTGGTACCCTCCCATATCGAGCCTGAGCATCAGCGAATTTCCATCGGAGGCCCCCTGTTCCTCCCTTGACACCACACGTTCACCTTCCCTCGGAAGCCCCCCCCTGACTTCCCCTCCAAACCACCTCACCGACAGCTGGGCTTCACCCTGGGAGTGGTCCTCATGCTGCCCGCCATGGTCATGGGCATGGCGGCGGGGGCGGTGTTTGGCATCCTCCCTGGCACCCTGCTGGCCTGGCTCGGCTGCTCCCTGGGTCAGGTCCTGGCCTTCATCATCGGCCGCTACCTCCTGCGCGACCCTGTGACCGCCTACCTGACGCGCCAGTTCCCGGCCTGGACCGCCATCGACGCCGCGCTGGGTTCCGAGGCCTGGAAGCTGGTCACCCTGCTGCGCCTCTCCCCGCTGGCCCCCTGGAATGTGCTCAATTACGCACTGGCGGTGACGGCGGTGCCGCTGGGGCCCTACGCCGCCGCCAGCGCCGCCGCGGTCCTGCCCTACCTCGCGCTCTTCGTCTACGCAGGGTCCCTGGCGCGCTCGCTGGCCGACGTGCTGGCGGGGGATACGGGGCTGGACGCGGGCGCCACGCTGGGCGTGGCCCTGGCCTCCGGTGCGCTCATGCTCGCTGCCGTGTGGTACACCACGCACGTCAGCCGCCGCGCCATCGCGCGCACGCTGCTGCGCCACGGCGATGGCCTGCCCCCGGAGCTGACCACCGACGCCGACGTGGTGGCCCTGCTCCAGGTGGCCAGCTTCGGGGAGGAGGGCGCGGAGGAGGGCGCGGCCGGGCACGCCGCCGGCGGTCTCAGTCCGCACTGGCTCTCGCCGCGGGCGCGGCCGGGCAAGGCGGAGAGGAGCGACGCGGAGGCCGTCGCCGCAGGCACCGCCTCGATGGCCAGGGATGTGGAGCTGGGGGCGCTGCTGCCGGAGGGGCGCGCCGCGGTGGAGCTGGACGCGCGGCCCAGCCGCGCCGCCTCGCCGCTGCGCTCGCCGGGGCCGAGGGCCAGCGGCAGTGTGACCCCGGTGTACGGCGCGCGGCAGGGGGCCAGGCAGAGGGGTGGGACCGACTTTGAGGCCTTTGCCTGACTGGGCTGGAGTGGAATGGGCCGGCCCGGCGCGTGAAAGGTGCAGTCGAGGGGAAGGCAGACTGGCTTGCTGGAGGGTGCAATTTTCGCTCGGCCTGGATGCCTCCTGGGCGCGCCAGGCCGCTCCTGCCGCCGCATCGAACGACCCGTTATTGCTGCCGTCTTCTGGATGCCGGGGTCCTGCAGGCACCAAGTCTGCTGCCCGCTGCATGGGTGCTTGCCTGGATGCTCCTTTGTCCCTCAGTCAGTTCTCCTTTTTTCATCTGTGCACCACCGAGTGAAAACCCTCCAGACCTTGCAATGCATACGAAACGTGACCTTGATGCTTGCTCACCGCCCTTGATTGTGACTCTCACGACGCTACTCAGCGAGGGCCCGTGCCAGACCAGGTGCCGAGAACGGGGACTGGGCTGCTGCCTTTGTGAGTGCTGCACTGTCCTAGGATGGGTGGTGGATACTGGTGCACCCCGCCAGACAGCACTGGCCGGGTACAGGAGCTGTTCTACGTGATTAAATAGGGTTGGGAGACGACACCGATACCGCAGACAGACAAGAAATTGGATGGCGATGCAAGTGATTGCGATGCTACGCACTCAAAAGGAAGTCAGCGATACACAAGACTACAGGACGGCAGTTCTTTCAATGGACGGCGATAGCGCTAGGCTAGTAGAAAAGGGAGAGGCACGCCCCCGCATGGGAGGCGGCGCAAAAATGGCGCAAGGGTGGACGGGAATCACTAGGCTGCATTTATTGTGGCGTCGCTCCGTACCAGCGGGATTGCAAAAGACGACGGAGCGCTGCGGGGGGATTGAAGAGTGAGCAGAAGCAGGAAAGGGCAGCGCGTCAGGGCCCCGGGTAGTCCATGGAGTTGCTGGCCACGGAGGACAGGAAGAGGTCGGTCCAGACTTGCGACCCCTTGCGGAGGGGCCGCCCGTGGGGCGGGCTCCCCGGCTCCTCGGCCAGGTCCATGTCTGGGGTGAGGGTTGGGAGGGCAAACCTCTCGTATGCCGGGATTGCAAGGTGCGTGAGAGGGCCCCCGTTTGGGAGCGGCAGATGAGCGGTGTTGCCCTGGCTACACGTCCAAGCAAGCTACGCTCAGACACAATCCCCTTACTTCCACCATCGCCCCTCACCGAAGAGGTGGCCGTCCCCCTGCTCTGGAACGGCGTCGTCCAGGGCCCCCGTCACTTGACCCTGGCCATGGCCCTCCAAGAGGCTGGCGCTGAGATCCTGAGACCCAGGACCCCGGGGAATGGGGATGGGCTCCGCCGAGCCGGCCGACAGCCCGGTGACGAGGTTGTCATCGAGCAGCGGGCCTGGGGTTGGGTGGGGAGCGGAGGTTATTCTGGTGCAGCGGGCACAGCGGCACAGAGCTCGGATCGCTTGAGCTCGACAGTCTTAGGACCTGGATACGCGCTGTTGCAAGTTCCACAGCACACCGCACGCCCATGATGAACAAGGCCTGCTCATGCGCCTGCATCCTCCCAGACCCCTCTCTCCACCACCCTCATCTGCCACTCACGCTCTTCGCTGATGGGGGAGTGCGCGGGCTGGCTGCCCCACACCTCCGAATCGGCGGCCGACATGCCCAGGGTGGGCATGTGCAGCCAGGAGGGCAGGCTGCGGCGCAGGTTGACGCGCGACGCGTGCCGCGAGCGCGGCCCCAGCTGGGAGCCGGGGACCGTCCAGCGCGGCCCCATGCCCTGCCGGGCCCCCGCCCGCCCGCCCTGGCTCGCCCTGCCGGCCATCACCCCACGCAGGCACTCGTCGATGGTGGCCTCCACCGCGCAGTTGACGGCGATGGCAGGCAGCTTGACCCAGGCGGCGCGCTGCCCCTCCCGCAGCGCGCGCAGCAGGTCGGTCTGGCTCAGGTTGACCACCGACTTGGCGGCCGACAGGGTCTGGAAGGGCAGCACCATGGTGCAATCGCCCTCCCAAGGCTGGTTGAAGAGGGTGAGCAGGCGCGCAAAGGAGCTGCGCCGCGCGCCCAGCGGCAGCAGCTCCAGGATCTGCGCGTGTGTGTAAGGAGGGGGAGGGATGTCGAGGGGCGAAGGGTGCCTGACAGAGCAGCGAGTGCGGGAATGAGGGGGAACCCTTGGGAGTGGGCAGGTGAGGTCGGATGAGCAAGCTTGCAATCTTCCAGGCAAGAAGCATGCCCGACAGAAGTCATCTGCCTCATGGCAACCCGGCCTGTCGACAGCGCCGTCTTCACATGCATGTCAGTGACAGCAGCAGCGCGGCAAGGGACTCCACCCTGATCATCGAGCACACCCCGCACACCCCCACCTCAGCCTCGTCATCCCCACCACAGCCCCTTCCCCTCCTCCACCCTCCTGCACTCCAACACCGATATCTCACCTGGCGACAGCGGTGCTTGAACTCGCTCTCCACCAGGTGGCCCAGGGCGCGCGGCGTCGCCTTCTTCAGCGCGATGATGGGCAGGAGGTAGGGGTTGGCCTGCGACACCAGGAAGTAGTTGACATTGAACATCTCGCTCAGACCCGCCATGGGCAGGTCCGCCTCCAGGCTGCCGTCCCGCCAGCGCCTATGGTGCGCCGCGGGCTTGGGCGAGGGCCAGGGTGCTCCGGGGGGGCCGATACCCGGTGACCCCGAGGGGGTGACCTCGCCGCCGGCCACCTTGCCCGCCGTGGCCGTGGTCGTGGCCGCGCCCGCGCCCCCCTCCGCCCAACTCCCCAGCGCGCTCATGAACTCGACGGTGCTGCCGTCCACCCAGCGCGCCATCAGGGGCTGGGGCTCGAAGAGGAGCGGGAAGGCGGAGGAGCAGGCCACCGCACTCCACACCAGCACCTGGGGGGCGGTCAGGTAATTCAGCAAGCGCGGCGGCTCCTCTGTGTCGGCCGCCGTCACCACCACGTTCAGGATGCGGCCTGGGGGGGATTGATGATGCGTGTATGGGGGGGAAGACTGAGGTGATTGGAGAGGATGAGGCCGAAGACAGGGCGGGTGGGAGTCCTGGGATTCGCCAGAGGACGGTGCCTGGCACAGCAGGGTACTGGATGCAACGCAGGTCCCTGCCGAGACGGCATGCCCACACCCCCTTGCAAGGCCCCCTCATCCCAGGTGGGGCATCACATGCAATCCCTCATCCTAACCCCTTCCAGTGACTTCAGTGATCCACCATCTCACCAGAGCGCTGGTAGGCGTCCGCAAAGGTGAGGTCACCCAGCAGCCGCTTCAGACGCTCCTGGAGCACCCGGTGATCCTGCAGCGTGCCCTGCAAGAAAACGCGGCAGGGACGGGAGTCTATCTGTTGGGCCCCGCCGAGCTACCTATGGCCATTTTACACAATGGCCAGCACACTTCAGGCTGGCCACACAAGGACCCTGCCTCGCTGGATCCCAGCACACCTCGTCCCCGAGCCCTTTCTCCCTTTCTCCTGGCCGACCCACCTTCTTGAGCAGGTGCCGGACCAGGGCAGGGAAGGAGTTGCTGGTGAAGAAATCCATGTCCTCGAGATCATGCACGGAGTCGAAGAGGGCAAGCAGCTCCGCCTCCGTCCGCGTCGCCACGATGGCACATGCTGGGCGGGGTGGGTTGGAATATGGAAGGTTGGTAGGGAGAGTTCAGGGGCGTGGGTCCAGACACTCATGGCTGGAACCCCCGAACGACAAGGTGGGCACACGGCAGAGCAGCCTCTCCTCACCCCTGCCCCCTCCAGCCCAGTTTTTCATTCTCCCCAAACTCCTTCATTCCAAACACCAGCCACCCCACCAACGGCTCCGGCACTGGACCCCGCCAGGACTCGCGGCAGTAGCTTGGCGTCGAGCAACGCTCTGACCACGCCCATGTGGAAGGCGCCGAAGGAGCCGCCGCCGGACAGCACCAGCGCGGTACGGCCAAAGGCGTGCCGCGTCTCGCGCAGGAAGGCCACGCGCTCCTCCAGGGGGATGTCTGGGCGGTGTGGGGAGGAGAGGGCGGAACGTGTGTGGGTGGATGGATGAATTTGTAGGGCGGAGCCCGGATGTGAGGGAGCGAATAGAGTAGGAATGTGAAGATGCGTGTGCCATACCAGATTGTATTACATCAATCATGCAGACCGTCAACAAGACTAACCCTCGCCCCATGCACACACTCAAATCTAACCCAAACACGCCCTTGCACCACTCGATGTCTCCCCCCCCGGCAGGCCATCCACACTGCTCCTTGCCACAGAATTCCTTCTCAATTCCTCTCCTTTACTCCCAAATCGCACCTGGCGCCTCGGCGATGGCGCGCACATGACGCTGCACCTCGGCGGAGTAGGCGCGGATGGGCTCTGGCACCGCCCGGCAGGTCTCGTGCAGGTCGGGGCTGGCCAGGTTGCCCAGGTTGCGCAGCAGGTCGGAGCGGATGGCCAGCGCGGAGGCCGGCAAGTCCCCCGCCGCACGCACCGATGCCAGGTACGCGGTGCGCTCCTCCAGCAGCCGCCGGTCGTACATGTGGTCGGGAGAGGGGCCGCGGGCGGACAGGCCCTCCCGCTCCAGGCTGCTCATGGCCGCGTCCCAGACCCTTGAGGTGTGGAAAGGGTGGAGAGGCATATGAGGGTTGTGGGAGGCGGAGTGGGTGGGGGTGGGTGGGTGTTTGTGTGTGTGTGTGCAGAGACATTCACATAGGTCCAACGGAATAGTGGAGGGCGGCAGCCGAGCTGCAACGGCCACTGAGTAGGGTCGAGCGGAGATCGACATGTGCTGCACTTGCAGGGGAGCCTTGGCAGGTGCTTACCCGTGTACAAGCAACAAAACAACAACCCAGCCACAGTCTCACTCATAGGTCTCTGCAGCCTCAGCCTCCTGGAGCAGCTGCCGGCGCCGGGCTGCGGCCGGCCCTCGCTGGGAAGCCACGTGCCTGGCAATGCTCAGCGCAGACCAGCCCATGGTGTAGCCGGCTGTCGGGGGGAGAATAGGTTGTATTGATTATACAGTGTAAAGAGGCATCAGATGATGAGGGGAACCAGACAGAGGCGCACCACAAAACCACACAGTCCAGCCCCCACCTAGGACGATGTGGTAGCGGCGCAGGGCCCTCCAGGGCAGCCAGCGGCGCACCCAGGGGGGTATGGCCACGAGGACATTCAGCCAGCCGGCGAGGCCCAGCAGGGTGCGGGACAGGAGCCTCACGCCCAGGGAGCCCCAGGAGTAGAGGGCAACCACCCCTCGAAAGGGATGCAGCACGATGGCTAGGGCGCGCCACAGGGACAGGCTCCAGATCAGGGATCTGGCATGCTTAGATCGGATGAGGGATCGAGGCGAGGCATCCTGGATCCGGCCTGCGCGGATGAGATGGAGGGGGCCCCGTCGCGCGAGGGACGGAGAGAGTGGGCAGTCTCGGAGGTCGCCGGATGCACGCCCCTGGGCCTCTTCAGAGCGCGGTCCTCATTACCTGCCATATCGTATTCAATGCTGGAATGTTCAAGGCAGCTTTGCGCCTTTATATGTCGCGGAACTCGGACCGCAGTGGGGGAAGCAAGAAAAGCCCTCGGCCTCGTCAGCCCTCGGGGATTAGGCCATCCTCGGAATCTAGAGCATCCCGCACAGATGAAAGTTGTACATAGTTGACACTCAAGCAAGTGCGGTGGAGAGCCGGCTCTCTGGGGCCCCTGGTTTCCGCAGCACCCCCCATATTCCTTTCGGAAGTCTGGGCATCGCAGCAGGGCGCCAGCATGGACGAAGCGCTACCAGCAGAGGTACAAGTGGGGATCTCCATACTCCACAGATTGGTAGCTTCAAAAGGTCGCGTTACTGAGAGCCCTTGCATGGTGGTTGTCAGTGTGTGTCAAAAAGTAGATGCTGAAAAAGCTTTCTTTTCTCACGGAGTGAAAGTATACAAAACGCCCGAACAGCGTGAGGAGTACACCCAGAGTTCTATTCGAGTCTCAAAATCCAAAAGCTAGCAGGTGGCTTGAGTAACACTTCGTCAGAGTCTTCGTCCTAACTACTTTGTGCAGGGATGACAGAGAGGGCAGCACAGGATCGATCTCTGTATGCTTGGGAAAATACCATCCGAGTACGGGGCAAAGTCTCTACATATATTGTGCAGTCTTGAGGAATGTGATGATGCGTGATCTTCATTCTCAGTGTTGGGGTAGTTTTCTGGTAAATGAGCCTGCAAACCTGCATGTTTCAGAGGCCGTCAGATTGCCTCCTAATGCACCTAATCCGCAAGCCAGAACTGTGATTCCCAGGACGATTGCCTTCTCAATTCAGGAACGTTGCTGCGTCAACGTAGGGAAATCGCGGATGCTGATCGACAGGTGATTTGAAGACTTGGTGTGGATTGGGTCTCCCGCGGCGAATTTGACCCGGGGACCACGCTCGGCCATGTAGCCATGAAATCCGCAGGTGCCGATCCTTCGAGCGAAGGCATCGACGGGCACAGTTCTGACGAGATTAGATACTTTAGGATGGCTGCAATGGGCCTGACCTCGCTGGCATCACCCTGTGCCTTCACCACCGCCCGGCCTACCACCCGCCGAGCCCATGCTCGCCCTGGCATGCTCCCCGTGCGGGCAGCCGCAGCGGCTCCCAGCATGGTCCCTGACGAGGCCAAGAGGACGACCATGAACCTGCTGCTTGCCGGATCCGTTGGCCTGCCCGTGGTGGCCATGGCCATCCCCTTCTTCTCCTTCTTCGTGCCCGTCAAGTGAGCAGCGTCGGAGGCCTCGGGCCGTTGTGAGGGATGGAAAGCTACCTTAATGGTTGCGTGAGTAATCTCTAGAAAGGGCATAGAAGGCGCAGCGCCGTTCGCCATCCCACCCCGTGATCGTGTCTGGAGTCTGATGTTGTTGCCCCCTCCTGCACCATGGGAGCTGCTCTGTCTCTCCTCTCACGCTGCGTCCCCCTTCACCTTCCCCCCTCCTCCCGACTCCCATCCCCAGGGCTGCCGGGACCGGCGCGGGCCTGGTGGCCAAGGACGCCCTGGGCAACGACGTGAAGAAGTCGGAGTGGCTGGCCAAGCACCAGCCGGGGGACCACTCCCTGGTCCAGGGCCTGAAGGGCGACGCCACCTACCTCATCGTCACCAGCGCCGGCGACGTGGAGAAATACGGACTGAACGCGGTGTGCACCCACCTGGGCTGCGTGGTGCCCTGGAACGCGGTGGAGAAGAAGTTCATCTGCCCCTGCCACGGGTCCCAGTACAACGCGGAGGGGTTCAAGGTGCGCGGTCCCGCCCCGCTTTCCTTGGCCCTGGCCCACGTGGACGTGGTGGAGGACCTGGTGTCCCTCACACCCTGGACCGAGACCGACTTCCGGGATGGCGGCAAGCCGTGGTGGTCCTGAGCGCCGGCGGGTACCCCTCCCTGCGCCGGGGCTAGTGTCCCTCTGACGGGGCTGGGGGGAGCTGGCATGTACATTTGTTTGTTGTGAGAAGAATTTCTTGAGAAGCCGGGCACGGCCGGGGGGGGAGGGGGGGGGGGGGGGACGGG